AGTGTGAGCTAGATACACAAATCCTAAGTGTAAACAGTTTAATTTTCACAAAGTAAACACACAAAGTTTCTGTATCAAGAGCTTGAATATTACCTGTACCCCAAAGATCAATATAATTTACTCTTAAAAATATATATCTTTTATAATTAAGGTATTTATGCAGAACTAGCTAGAAAAACTTAAAGGAAGCTATTTCTTTTTTTGAAAGAAGACAATTTATAATTCTTTATATTAATTTATAGTAGTAGTATTTGGTACAATAATTGTCTAATAATGCTAAATAATTGGGTGTTGCATGTGTTAAGTTTTGGACTTACATTGTACAAGGTTAATTTTTCAATATTTCCATATTTGAAAAATGAGATTAATGATTACAGAAAATAGCTTCCATCTAAAATTTTCAAGATCCAATAATACAATAAATTTGTTTAAAGTTCGGATTGCTTAAATATTGTCTTGTAAAACATTGTTATTTTACAAATAAAGGAGTCGAGGCTCGTGATTATGATATTTTCTTTGTCATGTTTGCAGATAGTCTTCCAACCTCATTTCCCAGGAATTTCTGGTTTTTATGATGATTTAAATAGAGAGCATATGCATTCACCGCATATTGACTATTAGTAAAATTTCGTGTGTTCCATCAGTAATTTGGTGGTATAAAAACAACGGTTTTCTGTATTTTGCACAGCACTGGGACTCTGCAAAGTGTCTCTGGGGGTTCTTTGATGTCTAGACAGTTTAAATTATGCCTGCTCCCCTGCCTCCAAATTCCACCCCTGTTCTGCTTCAGGGGTTGTGGGAAATGAAAACAAACCAGGAGGGTTCCACAACCCTCCGGTCTAGGGGGAAAAACAAACAAGTAGAATAAGCTGTATATCTACCCTGGCAGGTGTAGAGGCAAGGGCCCAATTATAGAGGATGGAAGAAAGAAAAGTATTGGAGCAAATATTTTTCTGTTCATTCACTTCTAACTATATTTATAATATGGAAATACACATGCATTATAAATAAAATGAAAATCTCATATTGGGGAAGAAAGTTGAAATAACCTTTTACCCCAGTGCTACGTTCTTCTCTCCTGTCTTCTCCATAGGTAGCTAAATCTAAGACTTTGGTGTGTTTCCTGTGTATTGTCCTATTTTGTGAAATAGTGAGATAAAGAATTGTGTTTTAAGTTGGAAAACTAACTTTCTTTTTTCTTTCTCTTTTTCTGTTTTCCTTTTCCTTTGTTTTGGGATGTCATGGTTCTTCAAATTCATCTTGTTAGAAAGTAAGTAACTTTTGACATTTCAGAAATTTTTTTGTTAAAACATTGATGTTTTATTACTTTATGTACACATAAGACAAGTTTCCCATAAGTTCACTGAAAATATATATTATGTATGGATTTCAAATTTTTCTTGCAGCAAAATAAACTATGTTTTAACTAAATATAAAATTATTTAAATTTAAAAATAATTATTTAAAATTAAGTAATATTTTAATTCCATTTTCTATGTATGTTTTCCTCATACAAAATTATATACATATGCTATTGCAAAATTTCTATTGCAAAACTTTTTAATTTTTTTTTCTTTTGGAGAGGTTTTTCCTACAGGGCACGTGCACTCTCCAGAGAGATAGCGAGAGACAGCGAGAGACAAAGACAGACAGGAAGTGAGAAATCACCCCCCAGGGGGTATGGCCATGCTGCAATCTTTTCTCCTCCATTCTTCTCTTGGGATCTTGGTCACGCACGCACATGTGACCAGCGTGAGTTTAAGCCACCAGGTCCAGGACTTGAACCATGGTTGACTACATGGGAATTTAGAGACATAGCTATTACACTAACTGCTGGTCCCCAGAACTTCTTAATTGTGAAGTGATTAACTTTTGCATTAAGTATGATGAAGATGTTTGGAATATATTAAAAATAAATACTATGCAAAATGTGTGCATGTTATCTAAGAATACAAACTTAAAACATATTTGCTTCATCTTTCAACTCACCATAATCACTGTTTTCAGTGTATGTGTACACATTTGCTAATGTCGTATATTTTGTTAATTATTTTTTTTCTGAATATAATAATATATGAATAAGTTTTTATTTATTCCTGTTCAGTAGCATTTAATTAAAACATACATATCTTTAGGGAAAAAAACAGTCCAGGTTTTCTAAGCTTTATGGAATTGATGAAAATAATAGCAGTAAGTAACTGGTACAAAAGATTTAAAAAATTATATTTCCTTATGTGTATTTTTATTGGATGAATCAGTTACCTTTTAGTATGCAGCTAGTGCTTTTGATACTTTTTACGTTTATTTTAAATAAAATAGACAAGAATAGTCAGTTTTTCTCTTTCCCAAAAAGAAATGCAAGGGAAGGTCTAGCAGGAAGCGTAGTGGTTAAGGCACTGGACTCCCATATGGTCAACTGTGGTTTGAGTCCCGGATCTGTTGACTTGAAACTCATGTTGGCCGTGTGTACATGCATACCCAAAATCCAGAGAGGAGATTGCAGGAGAAGGGATTCTGGCATGGCCATCCCCCTTTTCTCACTTTCTGTCTCTATCTCCCTCTGTGGCTTTGGCAAAAATCTCCCACAGCAAAAATCTCTCTCTTAAAAAAAAAGAATAGCATGGGATATACTTAAAACGACATGATTAATGAGCACATGATTTGAATTAGAAAACTTACATTTGATTACAAAATATTTTCTTAGTCTGCTAAAATGCAAATGTATGGTTTTGACATAAAGCAAATGTCATGTGTGTTTTGAAAAGATTTTGGGAAATTCAGCAGTCATTAATACTTTCAGAGCCATATTGTGATGTGATTGTGAATTGCATATTAAAAATTTTTCCATAGTAAATCTTGAGCTTATTGAGTTAATAAATTGTTTAATAATATATTCATGTACAATAGAGCTTATTATTTGTATAAAACCAAGTGCTTATTACGTAGGTTTAGAGCAAACATAGCATTAAACTACTACTTATAGTAGTCAATTTATCTTCTCTAATTATCCTTGGTTTACTGTACTTTAGAAAGAAAATGTAACTTTTGTTGATATTATTGTTCAGTATTTCTTAGTTGCCTTTACATCTGAATTTTTCAATGCTAAATTCTTAGACTCATAGGTATTAGGATCTCATGAATAAAGAGAAGGAAGAATATGATAAGGTTTCATGTTAGGTGGACAATTTTATTGCTATGTTTTAAAAAGTCGACAGAGTGTCATTTTATGTATTGGAGAGTCTATTTTACTTCTGTTAAAATCTTCTTGCTGACTCCCTATGGGAAATCTGTATTGCTGACAGTTTCACAAAATTAAAACTCCCAAACTGGCATAATCATTCATAGCTTCAAATTTTCTATACTTTTACCTAAAGCGCATAATGTAAAAATATATATTTTGCAGTGTTCAGTATAAAATGTCTTGCATTATTTATCTGGAATTTATTCATGGAGAGACATTTCCAGAGAGATGAATATATTTTACTTTATAGGTATTCCTGGGCCCACTTTAAATATGAGTAAAAATCTTTTGTGAGGGAAAATAATGAAATGTAGTCAGTAAGCTTGTAAGAGCTTCATGAGGAAAGATATTGCATAAGCACACAGCATTATTACTATGTGTGCTTCAGTGTTACAACACCATTGTTCTATGACCAAATTTATGTTAAGACTGTTGTTCCCTGTCAGGCCCAATGGAATCATATTTATGTGTTGGCACAGGGAAGCTGCTTCCTAAAATAATAAAGAGGGTTCATATTATTACAATACTTATAAACCTTTATGATTATGATGTGTATATATATACTGACTTGTTATTAACCATATTCTGGCAACTCAGCACCTTGAACCTTTTTTGTTTTATTGGTGAGTTTTGTAGTCAGAGACTTGACAATCCTGGTTTTCAGAACACCTTTACATAAAAATATGTTTTTATCCTCCAAATTCATAGTTTGAAAGCATACTATCTTAAAGGGTTTCTGGTCAGAGGATAGTCTGGATTAAATGCCCATAAGTGGCAAGTAGAGTGGAATAGGGCTTCTAATCAAAACTGATTTGGTCAAACATTGTGATCGTATAGCATGTTTGGAAGTACAGTACATTTGGAAACCTAATTAAATGAAAGCAATAACTATTACTCTAAATGCTAGCTTGCAAAATTATTAAGTTTGCAGACAAAAGACAAAAGTAATTAAAAAAATATGAATACATGTCATAAACACCTTTTCAAGTGTATGCATACATTCAGTAATGTTTGTATGTATATGCTTTGATATTTTAGTCAATAGTTTAGTGCTGTTTGACTTCTTTAAAAAAAGATTTCATAATTCAGTCACTTGTATTTTTCCTCTAGAACTAATTATTAACTGGGCATAATCCCCCACTACATATTTTTAAAATTTGATGTATCTGCGTAAAGGATGTCATTGTAGAAGCTGTATCAGAGATATAAACACAGATACCTATTCTTATTTGGCCATGTGAGAAATGCAATCCTGCAAGTAACTTAAATACTTATAATTTCAAATCAGTCCTGCCCTGGATTCTTATTATTCTTTTGTTGCTTTTCAACCTATGGGGTGGGACTGCCCTTGAACTTGTTTTTCTTCTTTTTTTTTTTTTTTTGATCATTGAAGTGTAACCGTCAAGTTGTCTGTAATATTTAAAAACCCAGGCTTTGTGATGTTGTTTATAAAATAATACTCCAGAAATGTTTGGCTTTGGTTTCTTTAACATGTAGTATTGGTTGCTTTATAAATAAAAGCATAATTTCAATTCAGGAGACTTTTTGCTTGAATCCTATACGACAGACAGATGCATTCCATTAACTTCGGTGAAACTAGACTGGCCTGTTATTATAATGTAGATGTTTTTGGGATTGGGAGGATATTTTTAAAAGGCATGCAAGATTTTTTTTTTTTTTAAGAGCAACTCAGAGGACAGTTTTGCCACAGGAGCTACACCTCAAACTGCTTCATTTTGTTCACATTTTTATTTTCTAGTGGAACTTCTCCATTAGCCTGTCTGAATGCTATGCTTCACACTAACACTCGAATAGGGGATGGAACATTCTTCAAAATTCCTGGAAAGTCAGGCCTCTATGCTCTTAAAGTAAGTTGTATTGTCCTGCGTAGTGTGTCTGTTAAGTTATCACATGTGAAGGTAAACAAAATTAGATTTGGGTGTTGGATAGAAGAATGACCCCTTTGCCTTCTAAATGTTTTCAGATGTCTTAACAGCGATTCCCTATTAGGAATAAACAATGACATTTTTCTTTAAGAAAAGCATATCTGTGGTTTTACTCCATAGTATATGGTAATGGAAAATAGTTGTGGCCTTCTTAACATTTTTTCGATTCTTTCATATTTATAGGGAGGAGTGTCTTGGATCATTAGCCCTCAGTTTAAAATCTTCTCAGTTGTCATAAACACTTTGACCTAATGACCACCAGTTGATGATCAGACTTCCTATCTGTATGCATTTCAACTTTTTTAATAAAAGAAATTATGCATTCTTCTTGAAAACTTACTAAAATTATGTATTCAATTTTAAGACAAATGGTGATCTCAAAGCCTTACAGTATTGCACATGCATTACATAAGAAAAATTGAGAAAAAAAAAAGCCTCAAATAACTGAGTCTTAATTATTTTAGTGAATTCTTGTTCCCTTCTAGAATTGGAAATGCCATCTGAATGGAAAATTCCAGAGGGCGAAAAGCTTGTGGTTGTGTAACTTGGAACAAGTAAATTTAGTGTACTATGACTTACAAATGAAAGAGAAATCATGGCTTTAATGATGGATTATATTTAGAGTTAATTCCTTGGAGGGATTGTTTTTTTGGCCAAAGGTCATACCTGGCAAAATAAATAGGGATAAGCAAGGATTTTCCTCAGCCACCAAACGTTAGGAACTTGCCACTGTATGTTTCAGAAAATAACACAACTTAATCAAAAAGACAGTTTTCCAGTTGCTTTTTGTGGTTACTTGGGTGTTTAATTTATATATTAAAATTTTGAGTCATTAAGGTGTTTCTTAGCATTCTTAAGGATGTAGAATTTTTTAAAAAATGCAAATAACTTCTGTCAAGAGGAAACTTTCGTGTGTGTGTGTGTGTGTGTGTGTGT